CTACCCCCACCTCCATCATTTCAACCCCACCCACTGAAACCCATCCAAAGAAAAGTAATTTTTAGAAAAGAAAATGATATTAACATTTACACAAAGCATAGCTCTTTTTATTCATCTGTAACCACACTAAACAAAAACCTTGTGTTTACTGGGCATACCCAGCTTCAAATCAAAGCACCCCCCTCCATTCAGAAGGGGGAGAAATTCCATTAAGAAGGAAGGGGTCTGGGGGTACTTCCCTGGTAGTCCAGTGGCTAAGACTGCATTGGTGCAGGGGACCTGGGTTCAATCCCTGGTCAGGGAACTAGACCCTACATGCCTCAGCTAAAAGCTCCTGCACAACCCAAGGAAGATCAACGATCCCGTGTGCTGCAACTAAGAACTGTTGCAGCCAAATAAATAAATAAATAAAAATAAATATTAAAGAAAAAAGAATGGACTCTCTGGTGGTCCAATGGTTAAGAATTCACCTGCTAATGTAGGGGACATGGGCTCCATCCCTGATCTGGGGAAATGCCACGTGTCTCTGGCAACTCACCCCTTGAGCCACAACTATTGGAGCCCACCCACCCTAGAGCCCCCTTGCACTGCAACAAAATCACTACAAGGAGAAGCCCTCACATCGCAACTAGAGTGTAGCCCCCGCTCGCCATGGCTGGAGAAAGCCCAAAGCAATGGAGACCCAGTGCAGCCAAAAATAGATAAATAATAATTTTTAAGAATGAAGGGATCTGGACTGAAGGGGTGGGTGGGTGAGAAAATGTTGAAAGAAAGAGGATTAGATGGGAGTTTTTGTTACCAACCTCATTTCAGGTGACAAGGAGTCAGTCTCTGGCTTAGTACCCACACCCTCAGAAACAAAAGATGTCTCAGAGGTGATGTTGAAGGGACTGGAGGAACTTCCATGACCTTTTCTGAAGGTCATGGGTTCTTTTTTGAAGCTGATTGCTTCCTTCGTTCATTGGAAAACAGACCTGTTGGTCCTGGAGCCTATTCAGCACAGTAAACTTTTGTCAGAAATTTCCAGATTAGCTAAAGAAGATAGAAGATTTTAGTCATTGCAGCTCACTTGATGGTTCATATTAAGCCCCCATTCATTTAAATAAAATGAAATAATAATGGTTACAATAAGCTTCCCTGTAATCATCTTAATGTGTGTTTAATGTGATCCTTAGTTGTAAATTGAAGCTCATTTCCCACATCAGTACTTTACTCCCTGCTGAAAGAACTCCTAACAAAACTCTTTTTTCCATTTTAACTCAGCACTACATTCCCTGGTTATCCTCCACTGTTCAGGGATATTAACATCCCGTAAACCTGTTAATTCATTATTGCCAGAGGGCTCGGAATCACAGCTTGCACAGATGATGAAACGTCAATGGAATAAATTAATTTATCTCACAGCGTCTCTTCTCCTTTGAAGGCCAGGCAGGTTCTTTAGCATTTTTACCAAATTAGATTGTCTTTAACTGCTGCATTTTTTTTATTGCTTTTAAGAAGAGACAAGTATATACCAGTCTACATTAAACCATCTCAACTTTCAAAATATTCATTGCTCTTCCTTTCAACTCCCATTAAGTAAATACGTTGATCTCCTTCATAAACATCACCATAGATTTTAGAGGATATTTGTTACCAATCCTCAGCCTCGCTGGCTTTCTGTGAGTAGAAAAAGAATTCAGGTATTAAAGTGGTTAGTAGAAAATTGACACATGCAGTGAGCTCTCCAAGAATGTCAGTCCCAATCACTGTATTTTAAAAACACAGGATGTCGGACTTCCCTGCTGGTCCGATGGCTAAGACTCTGCACTCCCAGTGCAGGGGGCCCATGTTTAATCCCTGGTCAGGGAACTGGATCCCACATACCATAACTAAGCACAGTCAAATAAATAAAGAAATATTTTAAAAAACAAAACAGGATGCCCTTGGGAGTTCCCTGGAGGTCCAGTGGTCAGGACTCAGCACTTTCACTTCCCAGGCCCAGGTTCAATCCCTGGGCAGGAAACTAAGATCCCATAAGCCACAGGGTGTGGCCCCCCCCAAAAAAAATTAAAAATAAAGGTACAGGCTGCTCAATTCACTTCAAATTTCAGATGAACAGTTAAAATTTTTTAGTGTAAGCATGCCCAAATACTGCACCAGGGTATACTTACAATAAAAATGATTCATTGTTCATATGAAATTCAAAATTAAATGGGCATCCTGCATTTTACCTGGAAACCCTAATCCCTCCCCTACCCTACTTTTCAGAAAATTTCCCCAATTTTGCTCTATTTTTCTCTCTAACAAATTTGATTAAGGGAATTGTGTAGGAGTCATTAGGATGATTTCCTTTTTTTTCTTAATGAAGATCACAATTTCCTCTAATTTAGGCAGGAATTAGACTTTTTTTTTTTTTTTTAAGAAAAAAATCATTGGGAACACAAATCCATGCCACAAGCCCATAGTTTAGTGCCTGGCCCATAACCGTGCTCAATAAATATTGATCAACTGAATGAATGAATGAAAGATTGCCTGGGTTAACAGCTGGTCCTATCGCAGTTTGTTGAGATATGGGTCCTTTGATTTCAGCTGATGTGATCAACTGTTGTTAGTGATCGAAAGGATTACAGAGAAGTAAGACATGAATAGTAGCCCTCCAAAGATGTCCCAGGTATTGCAGTGGTAAATCATCTGCCTGCCGATGCAGGACAAAAGAGACAAGGGTTTGATTCCTGGGCCAGTAAGATCCCCTGGAGTAGGAAATGGCAACCCACTTTGGTATTCTTGCCTGGGAAATCCCATGGACAGAGGAGCCTGGCGGGCTACAGTCCCTAAGTTTGCAGAGTCAGACAGGTAAGATACGTGGAGGTTAAACTGCATTATCCAGGTAGGATGAATGTGATCAGCAGGGTCCTTCTAAGAGGAAGAATAGATGGGTCAGAGTCAGAAAAGACTATGTGATGATAGAATGACAGAAAGAGAGACTGGAAGATGCTACGAAACTGACTTTGAAGACAGAAGAAGGAGACATCCAGGAATGCAGAGGGCCTCTAGAAGCTGGAAAAGGCAGGGAGATGGATTCTCTTCTAGAGCATCTGGAGGGAAGGTGGTCTGTGGGTCCATTTTAGACTTCTGACCTCCAAGCCTCTAAGACAACAGATTTGTGGTAACTTGTCACAGCAACAATAGGAAAAGAATACAAGGGGAATTTAAGTAATAAACAAAGAAAGGTGAATGCCGGGAGCCTGCCAAGTGGAGACAAGTCTGACAGAAGATTTACTTGTAACCAGTAGCAAGGACAAGGAGTGCGAAGGGATGGAGATCAGTACATGAGCAGATAGCAAACGTCAAAGGACACGGAAATTGGCAGAATCCCAAGAACTGAAGAGAACTGGTGGATCGGCTAGGGCTGCCAGAACAAAATACTACAGACTAGGTGGGTTAAACAATTTCTTTTCTCACGGTCCTGGAGGCTGAAGTCCAAGGTCAAAGTGTCAGCTGTCTTAGTTTTTCCTGAAGCCTGTCTCCTTTGCTTGTAGGTGGCCCCCTTCTCACCTGTCCTTACACGACCTTCCCTCTGGGCATGCGCTGCTCTCGTGTCTCTTCCTGTGTCCAGATTTCCCCCTCTTGTTAGGACACCAGTCAGACTGGATTGGGGCCTAGCCCAAGGGCCTCATTTGAACTTAACCACCTCTTTTAAGGTCCTTTCTCCAAAGACAGCCACATTCAGAGGTACTAGGGCTTAGGGCCTCAACATATGAATTTTGTGGGGACACAATTCAGCCCATAAAGTAGGGCTAACAAACTGTAACAAACTGGTTAATGCCCCTGATGGCGACCAAGGTGCTCTGTGACAATTCAATGCAGTGCAAAGTGATCCAGGATTGAATGCTAGTCCTTGTAAAAGGACGTTAGTGGGGCAATTGGCAGTAATTTGAATAAAGTCTGTAGGCGGGGTATTACATCAGTGCCTGTTTTCTTCTGACAATTGTACTATGGTTATGTAAGATGTCAATACCTGGGGAAGCTTGGGTGAAGAGTATACGGGAACTCTGTACTACTTTTGCAACATTTCAAAAAGCCTGGCATTATTTCAAAATGAAAAGTTAAAAATCAAAAATTAATAATTAACTGAAATAGGGTAAACAGAAGAGAGAAAGAGAGAAAACGAAAATGGAATAGGATGTGACCACGGAGGAAGGAAAAATGGAGAAAAAGAAGAGAAAGTGACTTCTGTGAGGTCAGAGGTTACACCTGCTGTTTGAGTTTCCAATGACCCCCTGCTTCTGGGAACTCAGCGTATGTTTTGGGAGGTAATATTCATTGAAGCACAGCCTCTGAAGAGGATTGAATCCCACCTCACATTCAGGAAAGGCCTCAGAGGTTAATTTCCGACATTGTCTCCAAAGACTGGTACATAGTCAGTGCACTGTATGTGTCGAAACTGTGAAACTCTGGCATGTAAAAACATTTAAAATACACCGCCACCTTGGTAATCCAGTTTTTGGTATGTCCACTTTTCCCCAAGCTTCTCCTTCTTTTTTAAACTTTTTGTTTGTTTGTTTTTGAGGTATAAATCACATGCCACACAATTCACAATTCATTCAATGGTTTTCGTTACCAAGCAATCGTTACCATTACCTAATTACTGGATATTTCATCACGCCACAAGAGAACCCCGCACCCGGTTAGCAGTCACTTCGCACCCCCACCCGCTCAGCGCCATGGCCCAGCCCCTGACTGGTCTACCGTCCGAATAGATTTGCCTGTTCTGGGTGTTTCTTGCAAGGGGATCAAGCATTTGTGGACCCACCGCGCATCAAAAGCTCAGCCCCCAGGATCTCCAGGGGCCACGGGATTGGCCGGCGGGGATTGGGTGTGCGCGGGGCGCCCAATCGCCTTCGAGCATCGGGAGGAGGCAGGTGCAAGTGGCTGGAGGCGGTGCGCGGGCTGCCAGAGCGGAGGGCGGAGGCCCGGGAGCCAGCGACCTGCGTTCGTGGGGCGTCTTGGGAACCGGCATGGTGCGCTGGTGGCAGGCGCTCACGCGCGCCGCCGGGCGTTACCCTTGGCCAGCGAACATACTGCTTTACGCCGGGTTCTTCTCGGGCGGCGACGCGCTGCAGCAGCTGCTGCGGGGCGGCCAGGCCGACTGGCAACATACGCAGCACGTGGCTACCGTGGCCATGACCTTCCACGCGAACTTCAACTACGTGTGGCTGCGCCTGCTGGAGCGCGCGCTGCCTGGGCGCGCGCCGCGCACCATCCTGGCCAAGGTGCTATGCGACCAGGCGCTGGGCGGGCCGGTGTACGTCTCTACCTTCTACACCGGTGAGGAGCCGGGCGGGGACCTGGAGGAGGAGCTGGGGGACCGGGTCGGATCCGGAACTGGGGGGCTGGAGGCAGGGGCTTCCTGGGGCTGGGACGGAGCAGGAGCCTGGGGCTCTGTGAGGAGGGGTCTGGGGCTGGAAACCCTCCCGTGGGGGCCAAGGGTTAGGAGACTGGGAGGGTCGGGGCGAGAGCGGGAGATCGAGGTGTGAGGACCGAGAAGCCTGGGCACCGCGGATTAAGGGGGTTGAGGGGAAAGAAATTGAGGCGCGGTTGCTGGAGACGCCTGGGATTAGGGCTCGAGGGGCTCATTTGGGACACTGGGGTTGCAAATAGTCTAGGGCTGGAAGTTTCAGGGGGCCTGGGGTGTACGTAGGCCCGAACTGGGGGAGGCAGGAATGGAGATCCATTTTTCCCCTGAAAAATAGATGCACGGGAATATCAAGGAGACCCCCAGCTGGTTCCCACAGCCGCTGCGACCCCTATGACAAGGTTGCGGGGTTGGGGGGAGACGGTCCGGGGAGGGTAGGGGCAGGCGGTCCTGCTCCTGGGAAAATTCACGCCTGGGGCTGGGGGCCTCATTTCCACTGGAGGGATAACCCTTTCCAACACGAAAACAAAATGTGAGGGGATTCAGGATGGTCTGGGCAGAGACAGGGGAACCTGAGGTCCCGCCTAAGTGTTCAACTGTTAGTCGCTCAGGCGTGTCCGACTCTTTGTGACCCCATGGACTGTAGCCTCCCCAGGCTCCTCTGTCCATGGGATTCTCCAGGCAAGAGTACTGGAGTGGGTTGCCAATTCCTTCTCCAGGGGATCTGCCCGAACGCAGGGATCGAACCCAGGTCTCCTGAATTGCAGGCAGATTCTTTACCATCTGAGCCTCTGGGTCCCACCTGTTTCCCCCCAGAATGTGTGCTTCAGGGCCATTCTCCTACTTTTGTAACAAGGTTTACCTAAAGAGAGTCCCATCCCCACATCAAAACCCACAGAAAATGTGAGAAGTTATGAGACCCCTGTGATGAGAGGATTCTCTACCTGTGAGGGTGCAGGGAGCGCCCCCCGCCCCCCGCCGAAAAGTGCACCGCGGAGCCTGAGGGCCTAACTTTGGGAACCTGCCTTAGCACCCTGACATTCTAAAACAGTGGAGAGAGTTCTGTGGCCTTCATCTTCATAGCATTTTCTATCACCTGCAACGGAGTGAGCAGGGGAGGGGCACCCATCCACTAAGAAAATTCAAGGATCCTGGGCCAGACGTTGGCATTGGGGATCACAGATTCCCCCCGCAAGGGGTCTTGTCAGTGCCTCTTGGTGCTTTCTTCTAAACCGTGTCGAAGTGATCAAGTTACCACTTTGAAGGAACCCACACTGCCCCATGGATCTCATTTTGAGGGCCAGAGTTGCTCACAAATTCCACAGGAATCATGCCTGATACAGTGCCAACCACATGGTTGATAGCGCCTGTGAGGTCAGGGCCTAGAGGACCTGAGACCGGGAGCTGCCTGGTTTATCAGAAGATCTGTGCCTTATCCCAGGGTGTGACATCCAGGCCAGGTTTGTCGAGTTTCCTCGGACCTGTTGCTGCAGTGGCCTTGTCCTATGGTGATGGGGTGAAGGGTGGAGGTGTTGGCTTTTGGGACTCAGATTCCTGTTTAATTCTCAAAAAACCCAGAGGGGCAGGTACCATCATTCCCATGTTACACGTGAGGAAGGGGCTTACCTGGTGGCTCAGACAGTATGGAATCTGCCTGCAATGCAGGAGACCTGGGAAGATCCCCTGGAGAAGGGAATGGCAACCCACTCCAGTACTCTTGCCTGGAGGATACTATGGGCAGAAGAGCCTGGCAGGCTGCAGTCTATGTGGTCACAAAGAGTCGGACACAAATGAGTGACTCACACACACACACACACACATGGAAACTGAGACTCATAGGAGAAAAATGATTTGCCGGAAGCAAACGCAATTCATGGCATTGTCTTCATCTCTCTGGGGAATGTCAGTATGCCTGAAACCAGAAAGATGCTACAGTCATGGGGCTGCTGGGGCGTGTGGGTCAAGCCCTAGGACCCTGAAACAGATTCCTGCCCACACAACTTCTTTTTCTTTTCACATTTCTGGACCCTACTTTCCTTTCCTCCTGTAAAAATGAAGTGGGGATGGTAAGATGGGGTAGGTTGGATGTCTGTTCAAGGCTCTTTAGACTTGGAAATTGCCTGTCTTAGATGATCCTTTGTGCTGGGGATCCCTTGGAAGCTAGAATAGCTGTGATTATGAGATCTGGTTCAGGATCCACACCTGGGTTGCGCTTGGATCACAATCAGCCTCCCCGAGCGCTTTTCCTCCTTTGTAACTTGACCATCCTTAGCCCAGGGTTATGAAAGAAAGCACATAAAGTGCTTAGCCCTTAGTTACTGCTGTGTAAGTGGAGTGCAGTATTACCAATATTGGGCTCAGTTTTCTTGTAAGTCCTGTTCTAAGAATCCCCTGCAATTGAATTAAAAGATTTTATTTCCTCTTCCTCCTAATCAGAGTTGGGGGAGAATTTTTAAAGCATTCTTGGATCTTGTCACTTGTTTGACTCCCTTCCTGATGCACCCAGAGCTCCAATAAAACCTTGTCTGAAAAAAATAAAATAAAGCACTCATTTTTACACCCTTCCTAAAATAAGAGGGTTTTATTCTTTTCCCCTGACTTCTTTTTCAGGGTTGTTGAACATCAAAGGTTTCCACATGTTTTTAGGAGCACTAAATTGATGTTCTGCTTTCAAATTCCAATTCGAAAGCCTCTTTAGATGGGAAATCTGAAGTTCTAGAACACCCAGGGTCTGGCAGCCTTTCTGTAAAAGCAGGAAATTAATTTTTAAAAAACTTAAGAATTTCAAAAAATCTTTTGAAAGGAGAGGAAAAATGTCACCAGTAGTCCCACTATGATTATATTGAGGTTTTTGTGAATTCTCTTACAGTTTTTTTTTAAAATAATTCTGCTATAACCCCATACCCTGCTATTGTCACTTCATATTAATCGTCACTTTAAAATGTATCCAGTTTTAGCATGCAGATTGTCTTCTGTTTTCACTGTTGAGTCAGATGGGACATACTGAGTGAGTGATAGCGTGGTCACCGTGCATATTCGAATAGAAAACTTGAACGTGAACTGTTACACAGTATTCTTCCTATTGAATCTTATTAAAATTCTTTTGGTGTGTGTTTTTGCAAATAGGTATGAGTATTCTCCAGGGAAAGGATGACATATTTTTGGACATGAGACAGAAATTCTGGAATACATATAAGGTAAGACAGACTTTTGAAAATACAACCATAATCTTTCTGTATCTTTTTTTTTTTTCCATTTATTTTTATTAGTTGGAGGCTAATTACTTTACATCATTGCAGTGGTTTTGGTCATACATTGAAATGAATTAGCCATGGATTTACATGTATTCCCCATCCCGGTCCCCCCTCCCACCTCCCTCTCCACCCGATCCCTCTGGGTCTTCCCAGTGCACCAGGCCCGAGCACTTG